TGGGACCCTCTGGGGCGGAAAGGACCCCCCAGGGCAGGCCTGGACCCAGCGCTCCCTCCTCCACAGCCAGAGCAGCCCCTTGGGGCCGTCCCCGCGTCCCCATCCAGTCTGTCCCCCTCATCCCTGCCCAGGGAGGTCTGGGCATCCTGCAGCCCCCCATGGTCCGGGTCCGGCCGAGCTGCAGCCGGGGAGGCTGGTGCAGGATGCGGCTGCCGGTGCGCGGGGCTGTGCGGGGGCTCGGCGGGCGCCGCGGGCTGCACCGGCCGCCCTCGCCCGCCGCTCCGGCCGGAGCCATCGTGGAGCCGGGCTCGGCGGCCCCCCTGTGCGCTGCGACGCTGCGCTGGGGCGCGGGGTGCGCGGGGCCGCCCGGCGGGCACCCCCAGCCCCGGCGCCGGCGCTTACGCTAAGCCGGGCAGACAGGGGCTGCAGACAGCCCGGAGCGCTCCGGAGGGAACCGCCGCTTTTCACAGGAAATCTGGGTCCCGCTGAAGCAAATCGCGGCGTACAGGAATCAGCCGAGAGGTCAGGCAGAGGCGGGTGGGGAGTGAAACGGACTCCCCCCGGCCCCGCGGGCCCACGCGCACCCGACCACGCGGCTTCCTCACAGCTTTGCTAGCCGCCCGGCCCCGCTGCAGGGTCCGGGCATGCAGCTGCACCCGCAGCCTTGCACACACGTGCACCCGCCCATTGCACACCCGGGCGTGCACCCAGCAGCACCCCTGCACACTCAGCAGCTCCCTCATGCAGCCTCGCGTTCACACACCAGTGTCCTTGCACACGCGTGTGCACCAGGCCGTTTGCAAGCACAGCCCTCGAGTGGCCCGTGCACACCCGTGCATGCACACAGCAACCGCCTTGCACACTGCAAGCACCCCCTTGCACACTGGTGCATGCACACAGCAGCCCCCTYGCACACGGGGCACGCGCAGGGGTTAACGCGCCCGGGTGCTTTCGCATGGCACSGGCGTGAAGCCATGCTAATGACTTTTCTTCCTGTGCCTCTCCGCTTACACCGAGGGCAGCGGGTAACCGGAGCCCGCTTCCTTCCCCGAGATTAAGGCGCCGGCGGCCGGCCCCGCACGGCACTGCGAGGCGCGGTGTCCCCCTGCCGAGGGCAGGGATTTGTAATCCRGGGTCAGTCTCCCGGCCGGCCCCGCTGTGGGCACAGGGGATGCACACGTGCTGCCGCTGTGCCCTGCCTCAGTTTCCCATGCAGGCATCGGAGCATCCTTCCCTTAGCGGGCAGGGTTTGCCCTTCCAAGGGCTCTGGGGCCCCAGGGGTGGCCGGGAGCAGGACAGATGTGTGGACCCCCCCTCTCCATGCCAGCCCTTCCGCACAAAGGCCCTGTCAGAGGCTCGGCTTGGTGGAGGTGCAGGGGGGCACCCCGCTGCCCGCGTCCCCAGCCCGGGGCACCTCGTTGGCTCGGGCACCGCGGTGCAGCATCCGCGCATGGCCCCGCCGCTCGCAGCACTTTCCCCAGCGCTGCAGCCGCCTTCAGGTTGCAGAGCCCCCAGCTGCACGTGCTGCTGCTGCCCCCGGCGCGGGGGGCACCGGGGTGCCCCTGTCCCCCCTGGGCAGCTGGCAGGTGGCCGGCCGGGCCYGGGGCGCTGCGGTTTGCGTTGGTGCCTCCGCGCGCTCCTCAGCAGCGGGCTGCCCTCRAGCAGCGGCGAGATGCAAATCCCGCCGGGGTGGGGGGAGCTGCTTGTTTTTTCCCTGCGACCAAATTTAGCCCCGTGGGTGCCCTGCGCCTTCGAGCTCATTTCAATAATGAAAACAGGAACAAAGTGATTTACCAAGAAAATAACCCCCGAGTTTCCCCTCGGCCCCCAGAGGGCAAATTCCTGCTGGAAAAGTGAGTTCCCACCTTGGCCTGGGCAGCCTGGGAGGAGCCGCGTCCACCCAGGCAGCAGGACGTGGGCAGAGCGGGATGGGGACAGCAGAGCTCGGGGACAGGCCGGCCGGGGCGCGGAGAGGGGGACGACCATGACCAGCTGCTGCCGAGGGCTCGTCCCTGGCGAGGTGCCGGTGTCAGCCAAGGAAACGGGAAGGGAAAAGCCCCATGGGATGCACAGGGACGTGCAGGGATGCACAGGGATGCACAGGGATGCGCAGGGATGCACAGGGATATGCAGGGATGCACAAGGATGCTCAGCGATGTGCAGGGATGTGCAGGGATGTACAGGGATGCACGGGGATGCGCAGGGATGCACAGGGATGAGCAGGGACGCACAGGGATGCGCAGGGCGGCACGGGGTGACGGCGACACCGGGCCCCGTGGCCGCGGGGTGCTGGGCAGGGCGCGAGGTGCAGCGAGCGCGTGCGGCCCGAGCCCACACGGCATATCCTGCAGCTCGAGCCGCTTCCTCCCCCGGGGCGGCCCTCGCGGGCGCCGGCGTCTCGGCGAGCACAGGAAGCCAGGCGGGCGGCACAGAGGCACCGGGCACTCGGGCACCGCCGCCCCCGCGGCCCGGGCTGCCCCCCGCTGCCTCCCCTCTGCCCAGAGGGGCCCAAGCCCAAATCGCAGCTCTGGGGATGCTCGCGGTGTCCCCAGAGCCACCAAAGGCTGCGCAAGGTGRAGGTCGGACTGGGCTACCAGCAGCTCCCGACTCTCCTCCCCTCCGTGGCCCCGTAGGGCCCTTCCTTCGCAGGGACGCGTGTGACCGCGGTGACAAGCAGCACCCCGGAGCCCCGCTGTGGCGCCTGCGGAGGGCAGTGCCCTGGTGTCAATTTACACCCCGGGGGACTCCGGGCACAGCGAGGACATGAGATGCCCAGGGACAGAGCCACCTCCGCCCCGGCGGACCCCGCTGCGGGCACCGTCTGGTGGCGGCGGCGCCGCATCCCGGGCGCCGCGGGACACGGGCTCAGCGGGGAGGCCGGAGTGCCCGGGAAGCGGCGCCGCGGCCGGGGAGGGGGCTGTGAATTTATCCTCGGCGGCGGTGGTAAAACAGGAATGAATTAGCACGTCCTGACGTCAGGGAGCACATGTGCTGCGGCACTTTCTTCTCTCCTAATGAGCCACTTCTTCCCCCTGCCCACCCTCCCTCCTTTGCCCCCCTGGCCTTTATTTTTTTCTCCTTTTTTCTTTTTTTTTCTGGAAAATTCTGTGTTTTTTTCCCTTCTTTTTTGGAGTCGGAAGCTTTGGGGGGTGATTTCTGCCTGAAGGTTTGGGGAAGGGGCTTGGCAGTGCCCTGGCAGCACCTGGGTGCAGCCGTGCATATCTTGGGGGGGGGGGTTGTGCATGCGTGTGCATGCCTGCACGTGTGCACGCCTGCACGTGTGCATGCGTGTGCATGCAGGTGCACACGCCAGGCCAGGGCTGAGCACGGGGCAGGGGCTACCGTAAAAAGCCCCACATCCAGAGCGGCTGCAATGCCCCAACCTCAGCCCGCTCCCCCAACCCCTAATTCCCAAGGGATCACATTGCTGGGAGGAGCCGGAGGGGGCATGGGGGCAGCGGGGGACCCCTCTAAACCATTAGCRCAGTGAAAAGCCCTCCCGATGGCTGCTAAGCTCTGTCTGATGGGCCAATACACACCGTGCTGTAGTGACCGCAGGCCGGAGGTGACTCACGGCCGGACACCGGGGTCCCTCCATCCGCCCCCCACGGCCGCCTGCTGCCCCCACCCTGCACATCCTTAACTTCCCATTTCCTCCAGCCCCGYGAGACGACCCCTCCAAGGCCCCGGTGCAGCCCCCTCCCCAACCCCACCTGGTTCCTCTGCCCCAGCCCGGCAAAATCCCAGGGCCTCTGAGCCCAGGGGATTTGGAGGCCATCAGGTTTGGTAGAGACCCACATATTCCCCCTTTTATTTCCTTTGGGGACTTTTTGGAAGCTACRCAGGGATGAGAAAGGAGCTGAACACCCAGTGCCCTCCTGCAGCCGGTGTCCCACAGGGAATGGAAAGTATTGACGAGCACGGATTTGGGATGCTGCCAAGGGAAGCAGCCCCTCTGGAACGAAATGCTTTCATGCCGGCTCCAGGGGACACCGGGACTTCCCTGGGCACAGACGGGTCAAGGGCAGGTGCCGACACACAAGACGTGGCCTTGGTGGGGCTCTGCAAGGGACATTGGAGCGGGCACGAAAGGCTGCCGGGAAGCTCCAGTCCCTGCTTTTCCATCTGTGGGGTCTGGAGCAGGCACCTGCAGCAGGAGCGAGATCCCTGCTCTCTCCTCCAGTTTCTCCTGTGCCTGCAAACTGTGTCCTGTCCTGTGGCTCCCCTATCATCCCCATATCCCCCCGGTGTCCCCAGCTCCGCCTGTATCCTGTGTTTTCCATCCCGCCCTGTGTCCCCATCTGACACCTCCTATCCCGTCCTGTGTCCCGCACTCCCGTGGGTCTTCACCCTCCGTCCTGCGTGCCCTGTCCCCAGTCTCCAGCACCCCATGTCACCACGTCCTGACGTGTCCCCTCTCCCCTCCCATGGCCCCTATGCCCCCCAGCTCGCGCGTCCCCACCGCGCCCCGTGTCCCCCTCGCCCCCCAGCTCCCCCGCGTGCCCCTCCCCTCGGGGGTCCCGCGTGCCCCCGGCCCCTCTCGGGCCGTGGCCCCGCCCGGCCGGGGCGGCCCCTCCCCGGGGCGGGGCCGGGGGGCGCCCTCCGCGGAGCCGCTTCTTTGGATAAGAGGCGCGGGGATGGGGCAGGTGCGCTGAGCGCGGCGGCACCGGCACCGGCACCGGCACCGGCACCGGGCGAGCGAGCGAGTCCTCCCGCCACCCCTCCCCCGGAGGCACTTGTGGGACTTTTTCGGTTTGGGGACTTTTTATTAATTTATCCTTTTGCCGCCACCTTTTTTTTTCCTTTTTTCTTTTTTCTTTTTCTCCTTTTCTTTGCGCTTTCCGCCCGGTCTCGCCGCCGCCCGGGCCATGGAGGGGGCGGCGGGCGCGCAGCGCGGCGGGCGCCCTTGAGACACCGGCGCGGGGAGCCGGGGGGCTCCGCCGCGGGGCACCGGGGCCCCATGAGCGGCTGAGCGGCGCCGGGCCCCACTCGGCCCGTCCATGGGCGCGCTGGAGCCGGCGACGGGAGCCCCCAGCGCCGCCGTCCCCATGCTCAGCGGCGCCGCCAGCTTCGCCAAGGAGCCGCCGGGGCCGCGGGACCCCGCGGCAGCCGCCGCCGGGTACTACGGCGAGGCGGGCGGCCCGGAGCCGGCCGCCCCGCCGCTGCCCTACGGCGCGCCCGCGGTGCCGAGCGTCTTCGGCAGCCGCTTCCTGGGGCCCTGCCCGCCTTACCGGGCGCCGGCGCCGCCCGCCGCCCCGGCCGCGGCTCCGGGCTACGCGGCGGGCGAGGGTTACGCGGGCGCGGAGCTGTACGCGGGCGCGGAGGGCGCGTACGGCCCGGGGGGGCCGCCCTTGTGCCCCCGCGCCGGGCCGCTCTGCGCCCTGCCCGGCTACCGGGCGGCCGGCAAGGTGCAGGTCATGCTCAACAACTACCCGCTCTGGGCCAAGTTCCACAAGCACCAGACCGAGATGATCATCACCAAGCAGGGCAGGTGAGAGGCGCCGCGGCGGGGGGACCGGCACCGGCCGCGGGTCGCGCTGGAGCTGCGGCCGCTGGGGCTGCCTGGAGCCCCCTGCAAAAGGCTGCAGGTCGCCTGGGTCTGTGTGCAGAGCAGTGGTGGGGGTCCCTGTGTGTGGGGGGGTTCACTCTGCAGGTATAGGGAGATGCAGCCCCCCCTCTCAGGCTCTCTTGCTACTGGGGCTGAGTCTTGATGCAAGGAGAAGGGGGCCCGGAAAGTTTGTGGCCAAGGCTCCGGGATGGGACTGTTCCCGGTGCGTGTTGCGGTCTGGATCCCGCTGTCCCGGCAGGGTTTGGGGCTGTGGGTGTCRGGGGTCTGCTCGTGCCGGGCAGCTCTTGCGGATATCAGAGCCCGGGGGCAGCTTTTCCCTGACTTCAGCGCTCGGGCCGGTTCCGCAGCCGCTTCCGCAGCTCAGTGCAGCAACAAGTGAGCGCAGAGCCGGGCGCAGGGGCAGCGCCTTGTGGGCTCACAGCCCAGACCCTCTTACACGCCATCTCCTCCCTCCTGCACAGACAATTCCTACCCCGTGACCTGTCCCAAGTCGCAGTCTGTCTGCCCAGACCTGGTGTCCCTGACGTGACACCATGGGGGACATCATGGCAAGTGCTCAGGTGCCCAAGTGGCTGCAGCGACCCCCAACCCACCCCCCTCCACGCCGCCTCCTTCCCCGGCTCCTTGCGGCTCCAAGATCCCTGAACCGGAGATGGGAATTGAGTGGGTGCCAGGGTCCAGGAGGAGGCTGCTGCCCAGGGTGAGGGCCCCTTAGCACGCCCTAAAATTGGAAGCTGTGGCTCCGGCCTCGCTGCTTCACCCCCGGAGCAGCGCGGGCAGGGGGGATCGCCCGCGCTCACAACCCATGGGGATTCAGAGGGCTCCCTGGCTCTGAGCACAAGGGATCCCTAAAATCTCTTGTGCCCAAAACGCCACCGGYGCCGTTCCCTCGCCCTGGGGCGCTGCGGGAAGCGGAGTGTCGGGGTCTGRAGCGGCCCTTCCCGCACCCCACTGGGCTGTTCCCGCCGGGCTCGTCTCGCTTCCTTCCTCCAGCTGGCAAAAATCTCATCTTGCTCCAATGATTTATTTATTTATTTGTTTGTTTGTTTCCTCCSCTCCCTCCCAATCCTGCCGCTCCAGGGGCTCTTTCTGCTCCCAGGATCTTTTCCCGCRGCACTCCGGGGCCAGCACGGGAGGCTCCATGAGGCTGCGGCCCCGCTCCTCTCCCTTCTCCCTCTTCCCGGCCAAGACAGACGATGTCACTTCGATGCTGAAGCCAACCTGCTTAATGTGTTGGAAGTCTAAACGCGTTAGGGCCGGCTCGTTTGCCGCKCTGCCTTCCCGGCCCTGCTCTCCCAGCGGCCAAACCGGCCGCTGGACCTGGGGCCATTCGGTAGGAACCCATCAGCGTCAAGGACGGGGAGCGTGTCCGCTCGCGGGGCTGCTTCGGCGGGCTCGGTGCAGGGGGGTGCCCGCTTGGTCGCCCCCGGCACGGTGCTTTTTCGCGCGCTTTGTGTCGCTCCTGCTCGGTTTGCGCTGCGGAAGCCATCCGCAACGCGCCCTGCCGTTCCTCTCGCTGCTGAGGCTCAGAGGGGCGATGCCCGTCTGCGGCAGCGCAGGGCTGGGGACCGCCGGGGCTGCTGAAATTGTGGGCACCAGCCGGAATGCCTCCTCTTTGCCCCGAAATGCGCCAGGGCTCTGCCAGCCCCAAACAGGGCACTCCCTCCGCGGGYGCAGGCCGGGGCTCCGTGGAGGGGCTCGCCCGTGGGGAGGCTCGGGGGACCCTGCAGCAAACCCGACCCTGGGAGACGTCAACCCCGGAGCCGCAAAGCGCGCGTCGAGCCCGGGCTGCTGCAGCGGCCTCCGCGCCGGGCCCGCGCGCAGCAGCGCAGGAGCAGCCCGGCCGAGCGCTGGGGCCGTGCGGCCGCGGCTCCCGGGGCTCCCGCTGGTCTGGGAGCTGCCGCAGCGGCACCGAGGGCTGCCTTGGACAGGGATGCTGAAACCCCGGAGAGCCACGGGCTGGCACCAGCCTGGGACAACGGCGGCAGCGAGCGGTGCTGCAGCTCCCAGCGGGGCATTTTGCCCTGCCGAAGGGAGGCCCGTGCTCGTCCTCACATCCAGGCATTCCCTGCCCTGCTCTTCCCTCTCCCTCTCGTCCCGCACTCGCTGTCCTCGCCTGCTCCTCTCCGCATTAAGAAGAGTTTCCCCCCGCTTTGTGGCCCGGGCTCCGGGGCGACTCCGCGCGCTGCCGGGCAGGATTGCTGTGGAAACCCCCGCGGGCAGGGGGAATTCCTGCTCTCCGCCCGCACGCRGGGCGCCCGCCGCGGGGAACAGGCGCTGGGCGCAACAATCGGCTTTGCATTTGGGGGTGCACAGGCTGGCTTGGCATTTGYGGGGAGCACAGGTTGCTTTTGCATGTGGGGGTGCACGGGTTGGCTTTGCGGCTGGGTTCGGCTTTGCTTTAGGCTTTGCATGGGGCAGGTTTTGAATTTGGGGGTGCCCGGCTCTCCCCTTGGCCGCGCGGGGCTCAGMGCTGCCTTCCAGGGGACGTGGGTGGCTTTGCGCTCGGGGGACGGCAGACCTGTCGGGGCCTTGGGGGAGGAAGTGGCTTCGCTTTGCATTCGGGTGCCGTGGCTTTGCCTCGGGGGCGCCCTGCGGGGCGGCTTCGCCTCTCGGGGCCGGGCAGGGCGGCGGGGGGACGTTGCCCTTGCGGGGCCTTCGGTGCCGTCCCCGGTGCCGCCGCGCGGTGCCGGTGCCGCGGGGGCGGGGGGCAGGTGGCTGCTCCGAGCTCCTCCGCGGCCGCGGTTCCTGCGGCTGCTGGCGCTGGGGTGCGCGGGGGGGTCAGGAAGCTGCCGCCCCCCCACACACGGCTCCCATCCCCGCTCTGCAGGCAGGGGTCTCCGCCTCCCGCCTAGTCCCCAAATCGCCCTGCGTTTGCCCCGGAACCCACAGCACAGCTGCCGGGAGGGGGGTACTGCACCCCGACACCCCCACATTGGGGGGCTGAGCCCAGCGCTGCCTCCTGCCTGGGAAACAGCCCCGTGAGCCCGGTGGGGTAAAAATAACCGCGAGGCGTGCGTGGTTTCGGGCCAGGCCTCCACCCTCGAGCGCCCCAGCTGAGCTGCGGTTTGCGCTGCGACAGCCTTTAGAATATAAACCCATAAACCGCTTTGCAACTTCTTATTTATTATTTTTTTTTAATGTTCCCTCTCGCCCCGTGCGCGTCCCCGGGAGCGGCGGGAGAGGCGCTTGCCGTGGAGTGGGGCGGTGTGGGGATGCTCCGCTCCTTCCTCCCGCGCCCGGCCCCGCATCCGCCCGCGCTCAGAGCACCGCGGCCGGCACCGAGCCCGAGGCGGCACCAGCTCCCACAGGGTCAGCAGCGCGAGGACGCGGGCAGCCCGGACGCCGGGGCCCTTCCTTGGGGCTGTGTTGGGCACGTGCTCCTCGGCCCGGCTGCCGCTTTCTTTCACTCGGGCCGCTCCCGCGCGAGGGCCCTTCTGAGTGACGGGCGCCTGGCCCCGGCTCTGCGCGGTCCTTCCCCTCGTCTGCACACGCGGCGCTTTGGGGGCTGCGGAGACGGTCCCCCCCGCTTTGTCCCCCCCGGGTCTCAGCCCTGCCTCCCGCCCGCGCTCGGCTGCGAGGCGCCTGTGGGGGCGCGAGGGGTCTGTGCGTCCCTGCGCACACGTGTCTGTCTGTCCGTCCGCCCGCCCGGGGCGCCTGGTGCAGCCCCCCGCGTGGGAGCTGCCTCGTGCCAGGCTGGGTGCTCCATGGGCACGGGGACGTTGGAGGGTGTCGGCGGCTCCTTTCCAAGCGCCAGCGGCTCCAGCGAGTGCCAAAACGACCCATTTTGACCCGGCCACGGCCCAGGCCGCTGCTGGCAGCCAACGCTCCTGCCAGGACCGCCGGCACCGCGCGGCCCTYGGCTCCTAGCGGGAACTGGGGCCACTGGGGCCCATGGGGGGAGAGGGATGTGGGGGCGACTCTCCCCCCACGTGGTTTCGGGGCTGCCCCCGGGTGCTGGCATGGGGCAGTGCCGGGGCCACCCGGGCCCCCCCGCCCGTCCCCTTCCTGCCCTTGGCGCAGCCCGRTGCCGGGCCCGAAATAGCAGCGGTGTTGGTTTCCGAAGCGGAAGGTGCTCGCCGAGGGGGAGGATGATGCCGGGGGGGCATCGGCCCCGTGGAGCATCCCCCAGCTGCCGGGGTCACTCAGCGCGGGGGGGCGGGCGGCGCTGGCTGCGTGTCCCCGCGGGTGACCCCCGCCGTGTCCCCCGCCAGGCGCATGTTCCCGTTCCTSAGCTTCAGCCTCTCGGGCCTCAACCCCGTGGCCCACTACAACGTGTGCGTGGACGTGGTGCTCGTGGACCAGCACCACTGGCGCTACCAGGGCGGCAAGTGGGTGCAGTGCGGCAAAGCYGAGGGCAACATGCCAGGTAGGGCCCCCCGGGGCTGCCCCGTCCCCCGGAGCTGCCCGGGCGCAGCGCGGTGCCCACCGCGGGCTGCTCTGCCGCAGGGAACCGCCTCTACGTGCACCCCGACTCGCCCAACACGGGCGCCCACTGGATGCGCCAGGAGGTCTCCTTCGGCAAGCTGAAGCTCACCAACAACAAGGGGGCCTCCAACAACGTGGGGCAGGTAGGAGCCGAGCTGCGCCGCGCCGCGCCGTGCCGTGCCAGGCCGTGCAGCGCCGCGCCGCGCAGTGCTGCCATCCCGTGTCATGCAATGCTGGGCCTTCCCGTGCCGGGCCGTGCAAAGCCATCCCGTGCCGTGCAATGCCATCCCACGCAATGCAATGCTGTGCCATGCAATGCAATGCAATGCCATCCCAGGCCGTGCAATGCCTTGCTGTGCAATCCTAGCCCATGCTATGCAATGCCATCYTACACCATGCCGTGCAATGCCATCCCTTGCTGTGCTGTGCCATCCTGTGCCGTGCAATTCCATCATGTGCAATGCCATCCTATTGTACGCCATGCCGTGCAATGCTGTCCCATGCCATGCAATGCCATATCATGCAAAGCCACGCTCTGCACTGCCGTCGCATGCTAAGCTGTGTGATCCCATGCCATGCCATGCAATGCCATCCCATGCCATGCAATGCCAAACTATGCCATGCAACACCATCCCATGCTATGCAGTGCCATCCACGCCACCCCTCGCCCTGCCCCGTGCGCGCCTGGCGAGCCCCCCGCTCACCGCTGCCCCGTGCCCCCGCCGCAGATGATCGTGCTGCAGTCGCTGCACAAGTACCAGCCGCGGCTGCACGTGACGGAGGTGAAGGAGGGCGAGGGCGCGGGGAGCTGCCCGGTGCCGCACGCGCACACCTTCGCCTTCCCCGAGACGCAGTTCATCGCCGTCACCGCCTACCAGAACGCCGACGTGAGTGCCAGCCCCGGCCGGCCCGCAGGAACCCTGTGCCCCCGCGCCCCGAACACCCCTTCCTGCGCGCCCCAGCACCACAGCGAGCCCCGGTACCCAGCCAGCCCCCCATAACTCCTGCCTGTGTCCCCCTCGCCACCGCATCACAGGCACCCCAGGCCCCCCTCGCAGCCCCCAGTGCCCCCCCAGCCCCCCAGGGGGTCATAGCCCCCCAGGCCACCCGCATGGGGGGCTGCTCTCAGTCCTGACGGCCCCAACACCGCCCTGGGGGGGTCGTCTCAGGACGAGCAAGGCACTGAAGCGGGTTGGGGGTGCTGGAGGGTGAGGGCAGGGGGCGGCCATGGCCACAACCCCGCTTCTTTCTGGCGCTCTGCAAGATCACGCAGCTGAAGATCGACCACAACCCCTTCGCCAAGGGCTTCAGGGACAACTTTGACTCGTGAGTACCCCCCGCGCCCCCCGCGCTGCCCGGGGGCACCGTGGGCGCCGCTGAGCGGCCCCACGTCCCCCAGCATGTACCCGGCCTCGGAGGGCGAGCGCCTGACGCCGTCGCCGCCCGACGCCGCCGGCTGCCAGCCGCTGCTGCCCGGCGCCCGCTTCCCGCCGCTGCTGCCCGAGCCGTACGCGCTGCCGCCCGGGCGCTACTACAACGGCGAGCGCGGCGCCCCGCTGCCGCTGCCCCCCAAGGACCCCCCGCGCTGGTACTTCGCCCCCCAGCAGCCGCCCGCCGACTACGGCGCCTACGAGAGCGGCTACAGCGGCGGCAAGCTGGTGCCCTACGGCGCCAAGGCGCTGGCGCTGCCGCCCGCCGGCCACGCGCCCCTGCCCTACTACGGCGAGGGGGCCCTGGGCACGCCGGCCACATGGAGCCCCCCGCAGTACCCGGGCAAGGGCCCCGCGCCCCTCGGCTGGTACCGGGACCCCCGCGAGGACAAGGGCAAGGAGGCGGCCGAGGCGGCGCTCTACGAGGGCGAGTGCAAGCGGCGCCGCGTCTCCCCGTACCCCGCGAGTGCCGAGAGCCCGCCGCCCGCCGCGCACCCCGGGGAGCCCCTCGAGGGCAAGGAGCCCACCGCCCAGCCCCCCTACTACGGCTTCTACGGCACCTGAGACGCGGGGCGACACCGCAGGACCCTCCCCGGCRCCCTGGGGTGCAGGGGGGCAGCGGACCCGCGGGGACGGGGCTGAGCCCCTTGCAGAGACTGTGTCCCCGCTCTGTGTCCCCCCCTTATTTAAGTCTGTGTCCTGGCGGGTGGGATAGGGGGGTGCAGGCAGCCACGGAGGGGGTAATTTCTGTTTTCTGTTCTTCTTTTCTGATGGGGTTTTTGTTGTCTGGTTTTTAGCGGTCGGGGGGGTTTAATGCTGAAGTATTTATTGAAGCCGCCCTGTGCCCAGCTGGGGGGGCAGAGGGGACAGCCGCATATCTCGCAATAAAAGGGACGCTGTGGTTGATGGTGGCATCTCTTTGCTCGACACACCGGGCTGGGCAGGGAGGGAAACTGAGGCCTGGGAGCAGGGAGCGGGGGGGGACCGGTGCAAAGGGGCCGTGAGCAGCCGTTCTTGCAGCCCCCTCCCCATCCCCCTGCAGGCAGAGGGGGCCCAGGCGTCCGGAGGGCGGCCAGAAGGAAGCTCTGGGCACAGGGATCTCTTCGCAGCCTTTATTAGAGCGAGGGGCTGCGCATGCAGCCCCCAGCATCAGCGGGGAGGGCTCTGCCCGCCCGCGGGCACCCCGGACCCCCCCGACACACATCAGCCCCCCGCCTTGCCCCCTACCCGCGGGCCCAGGTGTCTGGGGCCCAGGGGGTGTCCCCAAGGCCCCCAGGCCCTCAAGGCTCTGCTCCCGCCTGGAGGGGGGCTGCATCATCGGTGCTTCATTATCTGTGCAACATCCCCCCTGCTTTTAAATCACAGTTTTCCTTAAATACAGGCAAAGTGCCCCCCCGTCCCCCCCCCAGGCCCAGGTGGGTCCCGTGCTGGYGGGGCCGGGACGCGGGGGGGCTGCCCGGCCGGCAGGCAGCGTGTGCTGCGGGGGGCGGGCGGCGGCGCCATCCCTGCAATGAGCTGGGCGGCCTCGGCCGCCCGCCCCGGCTACCAGAGCACGGCGCTGTCGAGGTGGGCGAAGCCGGGCTCGGCGCGCAGGTTCCAGTACGTGTTGTTGGTCACCCACGACTCCTTGCCGCTGGCGTCCGTGAGCCGCCTGCGCGGCGGGGACGGCGTCAGGAAGGAGGGGAGCCGGGGGCGCCCCGGAGCCGCGGCGGGCGCGCTGAGCCCGCCGTGCCCACCTGAAGAAGCGCGCCTGGTGCGTGATGTTGTTCTCCTCCATGACCCGGCGCCGGTCCCGCTGCAGCTGCTCGATCTGCCGCTTCTGCGCCTCGGCCGCGGCCACGTTGCCCTCCTCCAGGTACCTGCGCGCGGGGATCACTCCTGTGACGAGCTGGGCGGCCTCGGCGCCGTGCGGCCGCCGGGCGCTGCCGCTCACCGCTGGTCCGGGCGCAGGCGGGTGTCCGTGGAGGGCAGCACCCGCTTGAGCTCGGGCGTGAGCTCGTTGAGCTCCAGGGCGAACTGGGTGAAGCCGTAGTTGTGCTCGTGGTCGCGGGGCATGGGGTCTGGAGGAGGACRGGGAGCAGTGCTGAGCGCTGCGCGCCGCGGCCGTGCCCCGCCGTGCCCCACCGTGCCGCGCTCACTGGCTCTCCAGACGCAGGGTCCGCCCGGCGCCGCGCCGCGGAACAGCCCCTCGTGCCACTTGCCCGCCAGCCGCTCCACCACCTTCCCGCTGCGGCTCAGCACGGCGCCCTGCACCTCGTTCACGCCGGAGCCCCAGTACCGCGCCTGCGGGGCGGGGCGTGCAGGGGCGGGGCTTGTGGGAGGGTGGGGCTTGCAGGAGGGGTGGGGCTTGTGGGAGGGGCGGGGTCTATAGGGAGGAGATGTGCCTAGGAGGGCCAAGGTTTGGGAGGGGGCGTGACTTTGGAGGAGGGGGTGGGGCTTTGGAGGAGGGGTGTGGCCTATGGGAAGGGTGGGGCACAGGTTAGGGCGTGGCATAGGAGGAGGAGGTGGAGTCACTAGGAAGGGGCAGGGCCACTGAAGAGCTCTGGTTGGGTAAAGACAGGGCGGTCACAGGAGGGGGCGKGACTAATGCTAGTGGGCGGGGCGATTTGGTCTGCAGGTCCAATAAGGAGAGGTGCTAGGGGCGGGGCTAAGTCGGTGGGTGGAGCTTAGGGAGAAAAGGAGATGTGATCAGCATGAGGCGGAGCCAGTACCATGCAGGGGGCGGGGCTTATGGGCAAAAGGGGGAGTGGTGTGGTCTGTGTGAGGCGGGGCCTGTGGCCACCGGGGGCGGGGCCTGTCAGGGGCGTGTCCAGGGCAGGCCCCGCCTACCTTGCAGAAGGTGAGCTTGCAGTGGAGCGCGGCGTCGCGCGTGTTGCGGATGAGCACCTCGCCGTAGTGCTCGATCCAGCGCGGGCCGCTCAGCACGTTGTGGATGCACGTGGTCACCTTGTTCCACTCAAAGTGGTCGCCGCACCTGGGCGCAACGGGGGCAGCGTGGGCCGGGGGGGAACGCCGCGGTGCCCGGTGGGGACGCAGCGATGGGCACCCACCTGGGCAGCCGCACGTTCACCGTGCCCATGGGCACAATCTCCAGGGATTTGCCCCAAAACTTGTTCTTCCACTTCATGTCTGGCAGGAGGAAAGGAAGAGGGGTGAGCGTCGGTCCCCACCCTGCCCCTTGCAAAGCCAGTGCCCCCCGCATTGCCGCGCGTGCCCCTCACCCTGCCAGAAGACGAAGTTGTCGGACTCGGCGTGGCAGGCGGAGACGGGCGGGTGGTGACAAACCTGCGGGGAGAGGAGGCAGCGCGAGGTGCCGGGGCCGCGGTGGCGCCCRGCCGCCCGCCGTGCCCGCCGCACCTGCTCGCTGACGAAGCGGAAGCCGCGGTCGGGCCGCACGCACTCGTACGTCTCGCCCAGCACCGGGTTGAAGGGCTTGCAGCCCGCCCGGTAGTAGGTGGACGCGTAGGCGGACACGGCGAAGGCCGCCACGTACACCTGCACGGGGGGACACCCCTGTCACCCTCGCCAGGGCGGGGCCTCTCATTGCTCCTCCCACTGAGGGGAGGGGCTCTGCATGACCCCTCCCACTGGGGGGCGTGGCCACACATGGCACCACCCCCTGGCACAGAGCATCCCTAACCAAGGATGCTCCCGGGTTGCAGAGCATCCGTTAGCATCAAGGATGCCCCTTGGTCCCTTCCATGGCGGGGTGTCACCCCAGACCCCTGCCATGTAGGGGTGTGGCCCCAGTGGCCCCTCCCACGTGTGGGTGTGGTCACAGAGCCCCTCCCCTGGGCGGGGCACCCGCAGGCCCCTCCCCGGGGGGCGCACGCACCAGGCGCTGGCAGGGGTCGGCGCAGCGGCTGGCGCGGTCCAGCAGCGCGCTGTACTCGAGCTCCTCGCAGAGGCGCTGCAGCGTGTTGAGCGGCTCGTTGAGCTGCACCGGCATGGACACCTTGGACAGGTCCTTGCCGATGTTGTTGCGCAGGATGTTCCAGAGGCTCACGTCACCCGCGTGCGCCGGCGGCGCCGGCAGGCAGCTCCGCCGCGGGGCGCCCGGCCCCGGCAGCAGCAGCGGCACCAGCGCCGCCTCTCCTGATCCTGACGGACACGGCCCACGCCTCAACCACCACGTCTCGCTCCCGGTGTCCCCCCGTCCACGGCTGCTACCTGTCTGGAAGCAGGCGGCCGCGGCCGTGTCCTCGGMGATGCTGTTGGTGGCCTCGCTGACGCACGACTCATCATCCGAGGCCTGGGGACGGCGGCACAGAGGGGCCCGTTGGGCACAGTGGGGCAGGAGGGGACGCGGCGGGGTGAAGAAGGGCTGCAAGTTGGGGGTAGCCCCGGGGGCGCCTGCAGGAGRGTTCGCTTTGGGACAAGGGGGACAGGCAGGGACCCAGGCGGCCGGGGCTGCAAATGGGAGCTCAAGCAGATTGGAGGAAACAGGAGTGGTGGGGGGGCACCAAGACCCCCACGCACTGGGCTCAGAGACAGGGAAGCCCCGAGGCCGCTGCAGTGGAGAGTCAGGGGGGGACACGGGGAGCAGGGCGGGACGGTGGCTCCCGGGCCAGCTACCGGAAAAGGAGYAGGGACGGGAGAAGAGAGAGAAAATAGAGATGAACCCATAGAAACAGCAGCACCAAGGGAGGGGGYGGGGCTCCGCGAAGCCCCTCCTCCTGTGTTTAGCCACACCCTCACTAGCCCCACCCCCTGTCTCTAGCCCCGCCCCACCTCGTTCTCGGAGGAGCTGGCGGAGAGGAAGACCTCGCAGGCGTCGAAGAACTCGGTGTGCGAGTCGGCGAGCGAGACGATGCTGCGGTTGGAGAGCTGCTGCTCGCGGCCCTTGTCGGGCAGCGCGTCCGGCTGCGGGGACAGGGAGCCGCGTCAGCCCGGCGGGCAGCGCCCCCCGCGCGCGGCCCGGCCCCTCCGGACCTCCTCGGGGTGCAGCGAGGCGAAGGAGTCCAGCGTGGTGTCGGAGGAGACGGAGAGCGAGTGGAAGCGGCGCATGCTGCGCCGGGGCTCCATGCCCTGCAGGGACAGCGGGATAAACCGGGATAAACAGGGCAGCGATTCCCTGCACCCCCAGCACATCCCGGGAAAAGCCCCGGCACCGCGCCCTGCCCGGCCCTCGGCACCACCGCCCACCCGCTCCACCGGCGCGCCAGCCGCAGCACCCGTGGCGCTCACCGTGGCGCTCCGGCGGCCGCCCGCGCACGGCACAGCGCACTGCGCCTCCAGCGCCCGCCGCAGCTCCTCCAGCCGGGCCCTCTCGGCCGTGAGCGCGGCCACGACGCTGCCGAGCGAGCCGTGCACTGCGGGCAGAGGCGGCGGGGCTGGCGCGGAGCAGCGGGCCCGGGCGGGGGTCCCGCTCGGCCCGGCCCCGCCGCACACCTTGCTGTGCCAGGCTCCAGAAGCTCCGCTGCAGCTGCCCGTACTGGGGCGGGAGGCTCGCGCACGGCTCCAGGTAGCGCGAGAGGTTGGGCACCGAGCCGTGCAGGCGGCCCACCTGGGGGGGCCATGGGGGGTCAGGGCTGCCCCCCTTGGCTGCCCCCCCAGGGCTATGGGGTGGCTGATGCCACGGGTGCCCTTCCCCTGGGGTCCTGCGGTGGGGACACCGGCAGCGCCCGCCTCACCCTGCCGATGGTGTCATCCTTGGCGAAGCTCTGCGTGCACCAGATCTTGGTGCTCCGCCTGCCCTTCTTGGGCCTCTCCATGGGCTGCAAGGACACGGGAAGGAGGCCTCAGAGCTGGGACCCCCACGCCAGCCCCCCGCGTGCCCGTGCCCGCCATGCTCACCTGGCTGCTGGAGATGAGGGGCGCCGAGGGGATGCGGTGCAGGGCCTCGAGGCTCTGCAGCATGCTGTAGAGCTCGCGCAGCTTCGCCTGGCACTCGCACAGCTCTGCGCAGCGGGGACAGCGTCAGGCGGCGGTGCGGGGCCRGCCCGGTGCCCTGCGCCCTGTCCCGGTGCCCCGCGCCCATCCCGTCCCGCTCACCGGCCGAGCAGCGCTCCAGCCCCTCGCTGTCCTTCAGCCACGCGGCCACCTCGTCCCGGGAGCTGCTGAGGGCCGAGAGGGCCGGGGCGCTGCCGGASGGCAGGATGCGGGTCCAGGAGCCCTGGGGGGCAAGAGGAAGGGGCGCTGGGGGGGCTGCCGGCCAGAAAGCCGCTCCCGGGCGCTGCCCCCGTCCCGTGGCGGGACAGGGACACTGACCTGTGTCGTGGCGGGGGGTCGCCCCACAGAYCCCGCTCTGGGGCCGGCCAGGGGCTCGGGCCTCTCGCCCTGGTGATGGGAGCACAGGCTGCTCACCCAGCTGCTGAAGAGCTCCGGGGACTTGATCTGCGGCACCGCGGGGCAAATGTCGGGGGGAAGGACCCAGCGCCCCCAGTGCTGCCCTCCCGCCGCCCCACGGCACCCGCGGGCCCCGGCCCGGCGCCCGGCGCAGGTACCTTCAGGTGGTAGATGTTCTCCTCGGTGTCCAGGTCCACGCGCTGCGCCTTCTTGTTCACGGACATGACGGCGTGGCGCACGTCGATGGAGCCGTGCAGTTTGCCCTTGAGGACCTGGGGAGGCCGGGGAGCCCGTGTGACGGGGCAGGGGGACGGGCAGGGCGTCCTCGCGGGCGGGACGGGGCCGCCGCGCTGCATGGGGCGGTGCCGGCGCCGCACTCACGTCCTGCCGCGTCGTGCCGTACTTCAGGACACCCTTTTCCAGCACAAAGTACCTCTGCGGGCAGAGAGAGCGGATCATCGGAGGGGGGCAGAGCTGCCGCAGCACGGGGCCCACAGCAACCYGTGTCAGCAGCATCGGCGGGTGGCCCCGTGCCCATCCCTGGATGCCCCCAGCCCCATTACCTTGTGCCAGCCCTTGAGAGGCCATTTCCTCTTCTTGAGCAGATAGCCCTCGTGCCGCTCCGGCTGCCGGTCCGGGCTGCCCCGCGCTCGCGGCTCCTCCACCAGCTCCCAGCTCTCCGAGCCCTGCTGCAAGGCGGTCAGCAGCGGGTGGCCCTGGGGGCAACGGGCACCCGGAGGGCCCCCCCCATCCTTATTAAGGTGGGGTAGAGCCCCCAGGGGCTGCTTGGATGCAAGGGACACTGTGGACAATGCCCAGAGAGCCTCCCGGAGCGCTGGGRTGCTGCTGTGCCCCCCAGCCCAGAGCCCCCCACCTGTTGCACGATGCCGGGCTTGGAGGACACGGTGCTGCTGGAGCGCGACGGGGCCCTGCTCGGAGACGCYGGGTCCTTCTCGTGGCTTCCCATGGCCAGCGGAGCGCAGGGGCCGGGGCAGCCGCAGGGCCGGGACGCGGGCGCTCCGCCGGTGCCTGGGAGGCGGGACAGCCTGCGAGGAGGGGACACCGGGAATGCCGCAGYCCGGCCCTGCCGGCGAGCCCGCCTGTTTGCACAAGCTCCTTCTTCCTGCTCGGATCAGGGATCCGGGTGCCAGCGTCTGAGCGATGCCTCCCTGGCCACGTGCCTCAGTTTCCCTTGTTGGGATGTGCCTCGGCTCCGGCACGTGGCCCCGACAGTCGGAGCCAGAAGCTTCTGGGCAAGGCGGAGGCTCGGACCCACCCGCCCTTATCTCGTCTTCGCTCCTGGCCCTTGGCCGCCCGCGGCGACGCAGGTCCAGAGTCCAGCCCCTACCGCACCYGGCCCCGCGCCCGGAGGATGCAGCGCGGCCAGGAGCGCCGGGCTCAGCCCCGGCCATCCCGACGTCCCCAGGGGGAGCCCAGGGGGCCCCGGTGCCGTAAAGGGGTCCCCTCAGTCCCGCGTGGGGCAGGACTCGTCCCAGCCGTGGTAGAGGCTGTGTCCACAGCACAGCCGGCTGGCGCTGAAATCACCGCGTCCTGCCCCCGTACCCAGGCTTGGCTACGCTCCTGTCGCCCGCGCGGGCTCCTCCGGCCGCGACACAACCCAGGGGTGCGGGACTGCCTCTGCCCGGGACCCTGAGCCCCTCTACTGCCTGCCCGGCACGGCCGCGCTCCCGCTGCTCCGTGTATCCCATGTGTCCTGCACGGCCACACTCCCGCTGCTCCGTGCATCCCACACGGCCACGCTCCCGCTGCTCCATGCATCCCGGGTACCCAGCACGGCCGCACTGCCAGCTGCCTGTCCAAGCACGACCGAGCTGGGATGGAGGCCAAGCCACAGCTCAAGCAAAACGACTCCGCGCATSCCTTCCCAGCAACGGGAATAAGCGCAGCCTGGGGGCCGTGTTCCCAGGGAGGGGGCCCAGCCGCAAGCGGAGCRGATGCTCCCGTCCGCACACACACACAGAACCGGCGCGGGCGGGGTCTCCCATCCCACACGGACCCTCCCTGCACCTGCTTAGCTTGGCAGCGCATCCCGGCGGGGGCAGCACAACCCGCCCGCCCGGTGCCCCCCCCCGGGAACCGGGACACGCGGGACGGATCCGGGCGGGGGGGGCGCGTGCGGAGGGGCGCGGGGCTGCCCCCCCCGGTGCCCGGTGCCCGGTGCCCGGTGCCCGGTTCCCACCTGCGCGGGCGCCGGCGCCGCTCGCGTCCCGCCCGGCGGCTGCAGGAAGCGGAACACGGAAGGAGGCGGCGGCGGCGCCGGGCCGGAGCTCGGCTCTGCCCCCTGCTCCGTGGAGGACCGGAGCCCGCGGCCGGTACCGGGGACAGCTCCGCGCCGCCCCGGGCCCCGCCGCGCCCCCCCCGGCCGGGCTGGGGGCCTCTCTGCAGGGGGCTCGGGGCGCCAGCACCCCCCGCGGCCCCGGCACCTCCCCCCGGCGCCCATCGCCTCCTCCGGCAACCGGCCCCAAGCAGAGGAGCTCCCGGAGAAGGTTGGCAGGAGCAGCCTGGCACGGAGCAGCAGGGCCGGGGACCCGGCCTCGGTCCGGGCGAGGTCTCCCYGGCACGGCTCCCGCTGCCGCACGGGGCCGGTGTCCCCAGGGTCCCCCGGGCCGCCCGCCCCCCGTGGGCCCCAMTGCCCGGAGCCCTTTGAGGCCTCCGGCGTTTCTCCCGGCACCAAGGACAGCGGTTGGACACAGCACAGGGATTTGTCCTGCGGCTCCGTCCCTCCACGGAGGAGCTGCAGCCCCCAGGCAGRAGCCCCCCAGTTAAGGGAGGTGCCTTAAGGAGGAAGCGGGAAGAGCCCCCTCCCCGTGCAGCCCCAGCCCCCATTAAGGCAGGTGCAGCCTCCATTCCTCAGTGAACAGTGAAGGTTCCGTTTAATGTGCAGCGGCCGCGGGTGGCCCGGGGGGCGGCGCGGCGGCCCCCGCTCCGCGTGGCCGGGGGGCCGGCA